CTGGCAGATTACGAGGTCAAGAGAGATCAAGACTATCCTGGCCAACATGGTGAAACCCCATCTCTATTCAAAATACAAAAATTAGCTAGGGGTGGTGGTGCATGCCCGTAGTCCCAGCTACTTGGAAGGCTGAGGCAGGAGAGTCACTTGAACCCAGGAGGCGGAGGTTGCAGTGAACCAAGATCGTGCCACTGCACTTCAGCCTGGAGACAGAGAGAGACTGTGTCTCAAAAAGAAGACAGCAGTGGGGACTGTGGCATCAATTTATTCTTCCTTTTATGAAATTTTTATCTATAACTTGAAGTAGTGTTAAACAGCATTTTACCCATAGTAAACTTCTTTTAAAATTGGAGTCGATCCTCTCAAATCCTGCTACTGCTTTATCAACTAAGTTCAGGCAATATTTGGAATCCTTTGTTATTATTTCAACAATATGCACAGCATCTTCACCAGGAGTAACATCTGTCTCAAGAAGCCATTTTATTTGCTCACTGCTAAGAAGCAACTTTTCATCTGTTCATTTCTCATGAGATGGCATCAATTCAGCCACATCTTCAGGCACCACTTCCAGTTCTAGTTCTCTTGCTATTTCCATCACATCTGCAGTTACTTCTGCTACTGAAGTCTTGAACCCCTCGAAGTCATCCATTAAGGTTGGAGTCAACTTCTGCCAAGCATCTGTTAATGCTGATACTTCCATGAATCACAAATCTTCCCAATGACATCTAGAATGGTAAATCCTTTCCTGGTGGTTTTCAATTCACTTTTCTCCGACACATCAGAAGAATCACTATCTGTGGCAGTGATAGCTTTATAAAATGCATTTCTTAAAGAAAAAGACTTGAAGGTCAAAATTACTTCTTGATCCATTGGTCACAGAAATGGAGGCTGGGTTAGTAGGAATGAAAACATTAATATCCTGGTACATCTGCATCAGAGCTCTAGAGTGAATAGAGGTGTTGTCAATGAGCAGTAATATTTTGCTCAAAAAAAAACTTTTTCTGAGCAGTAGTTCTTAACAGTGAGCTTAAAACATTCAGTAAACAATGCTAGAAACAAATGTGCTGCCATCCAGACTTTGTTGCTTTATTCATAGAGAATAGGCAGGGTACATTTAGGAAAATTCTTAAGGTCTCTAGGACTTTTGAAATGATAAATGATTATTGACTTTAACTTAAAGTCACCAGCTGCAGTAGCCTCTAGCAATAGAGTTAGCTTGTCCTTTGAAGCTTTCAAGCCAGCCATTGACTTTTCCTCTCTAGCTATAAAAGTCCTAGATGTCATCTCTTTCCAGTTCAAAGCTGTTTCATCTACACTAAAAATCTACTGTTTAATATAGCAACCTTCAAATATCTTAGCTAGATCTTCTGGATAGCATTCTCCAGTTTCTAAATCAACACTTGCTGCTTCGTCTTTCATTTTTTTTCATTAGAGACGGCTTCTTTCCTTAAACCTCATGAATCAACCTCTGCTAGCTTCCAACTTTTCTTCTGCAACTTCCTCACCTCTCTCACCCATCACAGAAGTGAAGGGTTAGGGCTTTGCTCTGAATTAGGCTTTGGTTTAAGAGAATGTTGTAATTGGTTTGATCTTCCATCTAGATCACAAAACTTTCTTCATACTAGCAATAAGGCTTCTTGCTTTCTTATTTGTGTGTTCACTGGAGCAGCACTTTTAATTTCCTTCTAGAATGTTTCCTTTACATTCACAACGTGGCTTGCTGCTTTATGTAATAAGCCTAGCTCTTGGCTTATCTTAGCTGTTGACATATCTTCCTCACTAAACTTAATCTTTTCTTTTTGAGACGGCGTTTCGCTCTTGTTACCCAGGCTGGAGTGCAATGGTGCGATCTCGGCTCACCGCAACCTCCGCCTCCTGGGTTCAGGCAATTCTCCTGCCTCAGCCTCCTGAGTAGCGGGGATTACAGGCACGCGCCACCATGCCCAGCTAATTTTTCGTATTTTTAGTAGAGACGAGGTTTCACCAGGTTGACCAGGATGGTCTCGATCTCTTGACCTCGTGATCCACCCGCCTCAGCCTCCCAAAGTGCTGGGATTACAGGCGTGAGCCACCGCGCCCGGCCAACTTAATCATTTTTAACTTTTGATTTAAAGTGAGAGATGCAACTCTTTCCCTCAACAATTACAGGTCTTTGTAGCATTATTAATATCGTTAGGTCTCAGGGAACATAAGGAGGCTCAAGGAAAGGTACAGAGATGAGGGAACAGCCAGTTGGTGTAACAGTCAGAACATACACAGTATTTATTGGTAGTTATCAATTAAGTTAGCCATCTTATATAGGTATAGTTCATGGTGCCGCAAACCAATTACAACAGTAGCATCAAGGATCACCAATTACATCTCACCACAACAGATAGTAATAATGAACGTTTTGAAATACTATGAGAATTGCCAATATGTGACACAGAGACATAAAATAAGCATACGCTCTTGGAAAAAATGGCACTGATAGACTTGCTTGACGCAGGGTTGTCACAAATCTTCACTTTAAAATATGCAATATCTGCAAAGCACAAAAATGCAAAGCTCAATAAAACAAAATATGCCTGTACTCTATACTAATGATAGTGCCTATTTCATTGAACTATTGATAAAAATCAAAATAATTCATGTAAAAGTTTTCGAAAATAGTACTTAGAATATAATGAATAATAAAGTCACTATTAAAAACATCAAAAGTAATAAAATGAATATATTAATCCTTCATTGGGAGAAGCCAATGGCTCCATACAAAGAAATTTATCAGGGAATGTTCTACATTTGGGGAAAAGGGGTCTTTCTAAGCCAGATTTTTAGTGCCGATAAAATCTGAGAATAATTGGAAATTAATGACATCTTAAGTTTCTGTTACCTTGTCCCTAACCTTAGTCTCAGTGTACATTTGGTATGCTTATGATTTTTTCCTCTGTTTCTCCTCAAGGTAGAAGTGATCCTACTTTAAAGGCTACATGGGTTTAAGTTACATTAATTTTCAGATCTGAATCTCAGGTCACATGAGCATCATATAAAATATCGAAGAATGGGGCTAAGCACACTGGCTCACGCCTGTAATCCCAGCACTTTGGGAGGCAAAGATGGGCAGATCACCTAAGGTCAGGAGTTTGAGACCTGGCCAACATGGTGAAACCCCATCTCTACTAAAAATACAAAAATTAGCCAGGTGTGGTGGCAGTCACCTGTAATTCCAGCTACTTGGGAGGCTGAGGCAGAGGCAGAATTGCTCGAACCTGGGAGGCAGAGGTTGCAGTGAGCCAAGATCAGGCCTCAGCCCTCCAGACTGGGCAACAAAAGTGAAACGCCAACTAAAAAAATAAAATTACATGTGTATACGTATATGTATATGCATATGGACTGGATATTCTTCAGTTGCCCCTGGAAATTCTCTCAGTTCCAACCTGTGCTTTGAGAGGCTGAGCTCAGATGAATACATTATTAGGGCAAACAAACTTGGCCTCTGGCTTCTAGTTAATTCAGCCAATGGAAGGCGCTGGTGAGCAGAGGTGGGGGATTTATTCAATTGGCTGTCTCCCTGCCATGTGTTTGTGTGGCAAAGGATACACATTCTCTATTTTAGCCCAGGGCCCTTGTCAGGCAGGTCATGCAGTTCCAATAAGCATTTTCAACTTAATTTTTTTGTTTGTTTGTTTGTTTTTTTGAGGCAGAGTCTCGCTCTTGTTACCCAGGCTGGAGTGCAACGGCACGATCTCGGCTCATCGCAACCTCAGCCTCCTGGGTTCAGGCAATTCTCCTGCCTCCGCCTCCTGAGCAGCTGGGATTACAGGCACGCACCACCGTGCCCAGCTAATTTTCAACTTAATTCTTAAGGTGACCTGACAGCTTCCCTGTGCACATGTCACAAACCCTTTTTGGCTCCCTTAACACTTCCCGAAACTTTATATAAAGTCCTTTAATTAAATTCGCGTAGATTACCCCTTGTGTGTGCCATTTGTTTCCTTCTGGGGGCTTGATTGCCAGGGAGAAGACTGATGAATCCAGTGAGATACTGAGACAAAAGCAGACAGTGCAATCTTGCATATCGCTGTATGCCGTAAAGACAAGTGATCAAACAACAAATGATGATTAAAATCTCCAGTGTCTGATGCTACCGTCACAAGACGTGGCAGAAATGGTCATCTGTCAACTAAATAATTCATGCTTTCCTTCTAGAGTGAAGCGATCATCAAAAGCTTGCTGTCCAGGCAAAACTTTCGTTTTTCAGGCTCAAACTGTATATCCAAATTCGGGCATGCGTTTGGTGGATGTGAATGTGAAACCTGTTACTTACAGGTTATGGCTTTCAAGAAGCAGGTGTAGATTCATCACCTTGTCTTTCCTAGTGAATAGAAGTCAAGGACTCCAATGACTCACAAAATAAAAGAATCCCAAGTCTCATTTGGAGGAAAGCTATCACTACCTAGGATTAGGATTCCTGGAGCAAAAAAATAAAATAAAATAAAAAAATAAAAATAAATTACGTAAGATATAAACTTTTATTGTGTTAAGTTACTGATATTTTGAGGTTTACTTACCGCAGTAACTAGCATTACACGATCAGATATACAGTAAGTAAATTTATTTTAAGGTTGAAATTCCTTCCTAGCGTTGTTGTTTAAGGCCACCCAGTGATCTGACACTCTTTACACCCTGGTTTGCTCGATGAGAGAATCTTTAGATCTTCACTATCCAGGTCATCTCTATGCTTCGTCTCCTATACCGAATGCAAGTGCGTTCTTTGCACTATTATCTTTTTCTTCTGAATTCACTGCTCTCACCTTCAACATCTGCTACATTTTGGAAACCAGATAAAAAATTTCTGTCCTTGGCCAATCTGAATTCAGTTCTCTCTCATTTCCTTTTTCACCAAGTTGTGTTTTGGCTTAAACTTCATAAACTTCTACTTTCTGAATGAAGATGCATGTATTCTACTCCTTAAAAGCCAAGTATTTTCCCACTACTGTGAAAATGTAACCAATTTCAGTTCTTTCACTAGCCTGCTCCAAACCACCTGAGGAGTTATTTTTGCCAGCCCCTTGTGTGAACTGCTTTTCTATCAAAGCACCTCAGACATGCATGAAGAAGAAATATACACCTCTCTTCAGTGGGATAGTCCAGTACCTAACACTTACCAGAAATGTCTGTCTTCCAACAGATGTTCAGGTAACCAGTTCTAACTATTTTGTGTGAGACTTTAGAGTTCACGTTTTTTTTTTCTGCTCTATCATGAAGTCAAGATGTTTATTCTAATCTGAGATAATCTATTTAAGAGTACCGTAATGTGCAGGAAATGTTTAATGAAGTGTGGAAGGAGTAAGTAAAGATGAAAAAAAGTGCAATGAACTTGATAAATACATGGAACTATTTCCAATATATCTTGAACTATTATCAAGATAATAGTGCTCTGTCTCTCTAAAAGAGAAAAAGAATACCTAGATTTGGGAAATACATGAAAAAATACAATTTTAGTTAATCGAACTACTATGTAAAACACTCTGCAAATTATCGGTAAATACTAAGAAATAAAAAGAGAAAGCATAAGTTGAAAAACTGGCAAGATCTCTTTGGCCTAGAGTTGTCTGCTACAGTAATTAGTTCTGTCTGTGTCACTTAATAGCTGTGTTAGTACCTGTCTGCTGGTGTAACCAATCACATAGACTTAGGGGATTTATAGAATGCAAATTTATTATCTTATGCTTCTAGATGTCACGAATTGAAATGGATTTCAGTGAGCTAAAACCAAGGTGTTGTCAGGGATCTAGGGGAAGAATCCATCCCTTGTCTTTTCTGGTCTCTAGACCTGCATTTATTGTTTTCCTTGGCTCATGGACCCTTCTTCTATCTTAGAAGCCAACAACGTAACCTCTTTAAATGTTTCTCAGCCTCCATCATCACGCTGTGTTCCGTCTCTCCAATATCCTACCTCTCACTTAAAAAGGACCCGGGTAATCCAGGCTAACCTTCTCATCCAAAATCCTTAACTTAATGACATCTTCGAAATCCCTTTTGCACATAAGGTAATTTACAAGTTTGAGGAATTATGACATGGACATGTTAGAAAAGGGCATTTTTCTGCCTATCACAATGTCCAAAAATAAATTTTAACTATTTTTCTCTGATTAGTTTTTCGAATACAACAAATCACACATTTTTTTCCCTCTCTATAGAGTTGTAAAATTACCCTGGAAAACTTGTTCCTCTTCCAAAAATGTATATTTAAAAGTATATATTTAAAATGTGTATCTTTCTTTCTTTGATTCAATCATGTTCAATTGACACTGAAGAGATGGGGAGATGTGAGGCAGCGTTCTTAATCTCAAAAGATAAAGCCAGCATTTCACTTATGAGAATCTCCAAAAGATTGTTGGAAAGTAATACATATAATTACTTGGCAAGGTGTGACATCAAAGATAAGGATAACAGAGGTATACTATTAAATCTACTTAATTTGGCAATTTCCATATCACATGTATTCAAGTTATGACTTGCATTTAAATGCATTTGAGCAAAGGTTCTCTTTGTCCTTTCCTTTTTACACATTCCAGGCCCCAACAACTCTCCTGTAGAAATGTCAACATTAATTCCTTCTTTTACTCACTTTCAATCTATCCTTGTCCCATCCGTTTTATCTGCTTTCTCTAACTCGGTTTCATTTTTCCTATTCCATGGTTAGGAGCGTGGTGTCTTGTGATGGTGATTTCATGTATTTTCTGCTTGGGATTATTAACAACATCCATTTTCCTGACCATCAAGTGTAAGTACAAAAAGAGAGTTTCAAAATAGCAGATATTGATATATGCATTATATACTACAAATAGCTTATATATAATGATATAAGTATATCATTATATACAAAACTTCATAATTTACAAATGAATGGTAAATCAAGTAATATGTGAATGCATGCAAATGATATAAAACATCATGATATAAATGAATGGCCTCAAATTTAAATCATTTAATAGAAGTCTCTGAGCACCCAGATGCCACTTTCAATGATCTATTGCATATTTTTTAACTCAAATCCTGTGCCATAGATCTCTGGGAGAAACAATGAAAATAATAACATATTCTGATTCAATTTGTGAGTAACATGTTAAGAATGCAATTTGAAAGATTTCACATTCTGCCTTCTGTTTCTAACATACATTTAATTTAAACTTGACTTTTGAAGATTATTTATATTAGGCAAGTTTCAATTTAAAATGTTTAATGCAAACCTGAGAGTTTTGTTAAACCACATTTAACCACATTGCTTTCTGGTTCAAATGAAAGACATATTTTCATGTTTGGCAAGTGAAATTTTTATAAAATATAATAATTACAGAGCTTCAGATTCCAGAAAAAGAACTATGAACCTCTAACATCACACATGGTAGCACTAAGAAAATGTATGTAAAAAGACAGAGGTGAAGGGCATTGTTTGGGTAGATGTTTCTTTCTTGTATGCCTTGGCAAATCCTGTATCTAACAGGCATCAGCTAGAGAGGAAGAACTATGTACTCAGAATAAGGAAGGGAAAGGTTCAGATTCACATTCACAAAGTATGGGAAGTTTGATTTTGCTCATGTAATGTCATGAGCTTCCTTTTCCTGCTGGAGTTTAGAGGAACGTTTTAAGAATTACTAAGAGCTTAATTGTTACTTTGTCTATCTCTTCAAATGAAGTTTCACAGCTTAACTGAAATGTTAGAACTTCATGACAGTTTACTTTTTCTCTCTCTCTGCTCACTTTGTGTCTTATTAAAAAATATATAATTTAGGCAAATGTGAATTCATTTTTTTAAGAAGCATACATATTGAATACCTATTTATCAAACACAATGGAAACAATTTGTATTTAAAAGACCAAACAGTTAAGTCAATTAACGTCTAATAATCCATTTTCTTCGGTAAAAACTGAGAACTTTTAATGACATGTTGCCAAGCTTCATTGTAATTCTACAATATAAGAATTTGTATTTAACTATTGTTGCAAATATTTAAAAATATTGTTTAAATATTAATTCTGTATAATGAATTTCAATGTTATTTTACAAATAATAATTATTTGGGTAAGAAGATTTTAAAACAACATATAAAAACATTTTCAATTAAAAACAAAATTAACTGAACATGCAACATCTTGAAGCAGTGTTGTCAAGTGAATGCAGTATATATAATTTGGTTTTTATATAAACATAAATCTACAGTCTCCAATTGCAAAATATTTTGTCTACTATATAGACAAAAATTATATACTACATAATAAGGATGATTAGAAAATTACACTCTACATTTCCCATGTTCCGAAAAGATTTGTTGTTCAGTGTATATATAAGTGTCTTCTCTATCTACTAAGCAAAATCTCTTAGATGAAACATAAAAATATTGTTCCTAAGACAGTGAGTTATTTTAAACTGTATTAATTAATTTTGACCCAGCAGAATCACTTTGGGAAATCGTTTCTATAGGTAAACCTGCAATTTAACAATGGGGGGAAATTCTCAAATACCACATTGGTAAGAGACCATGTAAATAAATAAGGGTACAGCATCTAAACAATAGAATACCATGAAGCAAGAACAAACAAACACACACTGTATTAAGAAAATGTCACTATGATGAGAATAAAAAACCTAGCTAGAAAATGATGTGATTAAGACTTCCAGTAATTTCTAGAAAATTCTTACAAATTAAAGTTTTAGCTTTCTTAATAGCTAAAAATAGGTACTTAAAAAACTTAAATATCGCTATACAGATGTAAAGTGTATTTTCCTTTAGCTTTTGTTCAAGTGTAGTGACTATTAATTTGTATTGTTGTTGTTTTCAAAATTATAATTTGCCTAGGTTTCTTAAACATTCTTAGAACTTAAGGCTTGAAAACAATAAAACCAGTTACCATAATAAAACTGTTGTGTTAAGCAATAAGCAGCTTCTTCTTGCGAAATATTCTATTCAATGATTAATTACTTGCCCCAGCTAGTTAGAGATTCTGTTATAGCCAGGACTTGAGTTACAAAAATCATGTTTATTTTTTAATAAATATGCCATTTTAATTATGTTCCATTTTAAATTAAAATATTACATCCAATTCTCTTAATGAAAACTTGCATTGTAAGGCAAGTGTCAAAACATATTTAAATTATATACATATATATATATTTTTAAATAGGACTATGTTTCTGGCAAAAAGTAGTGAATAAACACTATAACCTTTTATTTAAAAGTATCATCATGTGAACATAATGAAAGTACTAATTATAAATTACTCATATATATTACTAAAGGACAGTTATACCTACCTCACAATAGAAGGACTGGTAAAATTAATTATATCATATTTATATAAAGAATACAATGCAGACCAGATGTGGTGTCCCTGTAATCCCAGCACTTTGGGAGGCCAAGGTGGGCAGATCATGAGGTCAGGAGTTCGAGACCAGCCTGACCAACATAGTGAAACCCCATCTCTACTAAAAATACAAAAATGAGCCAGGCGTTGTGGTGGGCACCTGTAATCCCAGCTACTTGGGAGGCTGAGGCAGGAGAATCGCTTGAACCCAGGAGGTGCAGGTTGCGATGAGCTGAGATCACTCCACTGCACTCCAGCCTGAGCTACAGAGCAAGACTCCATCAAATAAATAAATAAAATAAAACACCATTATTTAAAGAAATCTTCTAGAACCATTGTTATTGTTATGAAAATATGGTTTTGCAATATTTTCTCATGAGATTTCTAAAAAGACATTTTTACAAATATACGGTTTTCTAACAGTTGTATTTAAAATACTTTTCTATGTACGTACTTAGAAAAGGGTTTCTGTAGATATAAACCAAATAATAACGGCTATTATTTGAGTGGTAGGTTCCAAAGCAAGTAGACTTAATTTTTAGCTTTCTTCTTACCATTTCACATTTTCTAATTTTTCTACCACATTATTTATGCCACCATTTTTTATGTAAAAAAACTATAAATAAAATATTTATAAAATAAAATACAAAATATTTTCTAAGAAATCAGCTTTTCTATTTGTTTTTACTGTTTATTTTCTTAATTCATCAATTAGGTACAATGTATAATATCATATAACAAATAATTTTATTTTGGGGAGCTTAAAAGTACTGTATTATTTTTCCCTAGGAAATTATATTGTTTTGCCTTTATTCCTCACGTTGCAAATCGATTACAACCTCAATCCCAATTAAGGTGCTATATTTTGCTTCCTATTTAGGGGGAAACTCTGAAGGGAAGTCTTATTTCCCTTTCTCCAGTTTTATTACAATTTTATATAGTATAAGCTGTTCAGATAGTAATAAACACAACAGCTTCTAAAATACAGCTAATCTTAATAAGTATCTATAAAATTTTGTAATTATATCTTGAATTTCTAAGAGGAAAATTATTTTTCGATGTCTAAACATGCCAGATTATTAATAGGATAAAATTAGAGCATCACTGTCCTACACTCCTCTCTGGTTAGGTTCATTATTTTGCTAAAAAGAGGAAAAATAATCCAAGCAGCTGTCAGCCTGGGGTTTGAACTATGCACACCTGCACAGGCCATAAACATCTGCTTTCTCAAGTCCATGCTTTGACTTCTGCTATTTCCTTCTCAGCGGCAATATTGATAAGTAAAACAGATCAGAATATGTAGATACACAATTAATTAAAAGTTTTCCTTCCTTCCTTCCTTCCTTCCTTCCTTCCTTCCTTCCTTCCTTCCTTCCTTCCTCCCTCCCTCCCTCCCTCCCTCCCTCTCTCCCTCTCTCTCTCTCTCTCTCCCCCTTTCCTTTCTTTCTTTCTTTCTTTCTTTCTTTCTTTCTTTCTTTCTTTCTTTCTTTCTTTCTTTCTTTCTTTCTTTCTTTCTTTCTTTCTTTCTTTCTTTCTTTCTTTCTTTCTTCTTCTTTCTGTCTTCTTTTTGACAGAGTCTTGCTGTCTTGCCCAGGCCAGAGTGCAGGTAACCCTGCCTTCTGGGTTCAAGTACCTCTCCTGCCTCACCTTCCTGAGTAGCGGGGATTACACCTGCTCGCCACCACACCCAGCTAATTTTTGTATTTTTAGTAGAGACAGGGTTTTGCCCTGTTGGCCTTGCTGATCTCAATCTCTTGACCTCATGTGATCCACCAGTCTCAGCCTCCCACAGTGCTGGGATTACAGGCAAGAGCCACCGCGCCCAGCCCAGCCTGTCTTGGCCAGATAAAAAATATAAAAATAATTTTACAGATTTGCCCATTTGTTCTCCTCTTTTGTTGTTCCATTTCGCTCTAAAAGATATGCTTTTTAATCCTAAAGGTCTGGCTGACATGAATAGATTTTTGCTTTATTAATTCACTAATTTTTCTCGATGCCATTTGCTCTATACAGCATGTCCATTCAATAGTCACAATCCAATAACGATTAACATATCAACTTATTTTTTTTTTTTGAGACGGAGTTTCGCTCTTGTTACCCAGGCTGGAGTGCAATGGCGCGATCTCCGCTCACCGCAACCTCCGCCTCCTGGGTTCAGGCAATTCTCCTGCCTCAGCCTCCTGAGTAGCTGGGATTACAGGCACGCACCACCATGCCCAGCTAATTTTTTGTATTTTTAGTAGAGACGGGGTTTCTCCATGTTGACCAGGATGGTCTCGATCTCTTGACCTTGTGATCCACCTGCCTCGGCCTCCCAAACTGCTGGGATTACAGGCTTGAGCCACTGCGCCCGGCCCATCAACTTATTTTAAACCAATTATATAACTGAGTAGAATCATTCTCCCTGATTTCAAAGCCTATATTAATTAAAACTAGGTGTATTAGTGGACAAAAAGACAGCTATAAAATACAAAAAAGAATCCAGAAATAGACTCATACTAATATGCCAAGTGATTTTGTCAGTAGTGTAAATCAACTGAAAGAGGGAGGATAGTCTTTTCAACAAATGGTGCTGGAAAAATTAGACATCCACAGGGGAAAAAAAGAAAAAGAAAAAGAAAATAAACCTGTTTTATACCTTATACAAAAATTAAAAGTTAACTCAAAATAGGTCACAGTCTTAAATGTAGAGCATAAAACTGTAAAACTGTCAGAAAATATAGGACAAAATCTTTAGAATCTAAAGGTAGGCAAACAGTTCTTGGACTTACATCAAAAAATAATTATTGAAAGGAAAATTGGTAAGCTGGATGGACCTCATCAAAATATAGCATGCATAATGTGTAAAAGACAGTAGGAAGCGGGTAAAAAGACATGTTACAGGCCAGGTGTGGTGGCTCACACCTTGAATTACAGCACTTTGGGATTCCTTGAGCTCAGGTGTTCAAGACCATCCTGGGCAAGATGGCGAGACCCTGTTTCTACAAAAATAAATAAGTAAATAAATAAAATACAAGTTAAAGACCTGGAATAAATACTTGTAAATCAATATCTGACAAAGGACTAGAACCTAGAATGTGCAAAGAAGTCTCAAAACTCAACAGTAAAAAACTAGGCCTTCCAATTAGAAAATGGCAAAAACACATGAAAAGACATTTCACCAGAGAGAATATACGATGTCAAATAAGCACAAGAAAAGATGTTCAATGTCATTAGCCATTAAGAAAATGAAAATTAAAAATATAGTGAGATGTTACTATATACATAATCAGAATGGCTAAAATAACAGTAAGTGACAACATCAAATGCTTGTCAAGCTACCGAGAAAGCAGATCATGCACTCACTCCTGGTGGGAATATAATATGCTGTAGCCACTCTGGAAGGTAGCGTAGCAGTTTTTAAAAATCTAAATTTCACACTTCCTTAAAACACAGCAATTGCCCTCTTGAGCATTTACCTCATAGAAGTAAAAACTTATGTTCACGCGAAAACCTGCACGTGAATGTTTATAGTAGCTCTATTTGTAATGGCTAAAACCTGAAAACTACCTAAATGTCCTTCAGTGGGTGAATAGTTAAACCAGTAGTGGTAATCCGTATCATGGAATTCTACTCAACAATAAAAAATAGATGAGCTATTAATTTAAACAACAATCTACATGAGTCTCCATAGGATTATTCTGAGTGAAATAGGCCAACAGCAAAAGGTTACATAGTATAAGATCCTATTTATATATAATTCATGTGATAAAATAGAAAAGGAAAACAAATTAGTGATTGCCAGGAGTTAACACACGGTGAAGGCAAGAGGGAAGTGGATGTGCTTATAAAAGGGCAAAGACAGATCCTCACGGTAAGGGAGGAGCTGAGTATCGTGATTGTATCAATATCAATATTCCTGGTTGTGGCATTGAACTATAATTTTGCATGCCCATGTACTTATATGGAACTGTGTTTAAATATATATGTTAATGATAAAACAAAAGGTGCAAAACCATGTAAACATATTGTTACCATTTATGTTAAGGGGAGCGAGGGAATTTCATATTCATTTGCTTTCATTTGTAAAATTTCATTTTGTTTTATTTTATGTGTAATATTCAAAAGCTCTCAAATAACAAATAAATCGGTAAATCTGGTTGTTTGTGGGGAGTAAAATCGAGTGAATTTAAAATGGGTGCAAAGAGACGTTTTGCTCCACATCCTTTGCAGTGTTCGATTCTTGTACAATGTACATTTTAAGAGAAAACCCAAAATAATACAAATTTGAGTCTCAAAAATAATAGTAATTTGTAGTTGTCTTTTGTCTGTGTTGAAGGATTATTTTGCTATAAAATGTCAAAATTTTATTAGAAATGATTGCTGCCATTTGAAGTGTTGCAGGTGTCCACCATTGTGATACAGCAGCAAGAAAAACTCATCCAACAAGAGAGGGCACTGCTAAACTGTACACAGTGGAATAGAAGCCATGCCCTTCAGATGAAACATTGTCAAACCTTCATGCAAAACTTTCTCAGCTCAGGTAATGGATACAAAATCAGTTTGCACTGTATAAACCCAGTTATATATACAGCAATACCTCAAAAGAAACAGTGACACACATTTTGTTCTCTGCAAAACTGTGAGGATTTTATAATGAGTGCCTAATTTTGATCACTCTTCAGTTCAATCTTATTTATAACCTCCAATACTATGTGGAAACACTAAGGATCCAAAAGAATGCAACTAAGGGAAATGTACTATCAAATGCCAAAAAGGTTTGTGTGCAATTAGCAATCAGATTAAAACATACACACACACACACACACACACACACACACACAAACATTGTTTCATCCAGTCATTCAAATTTGTAAGTGTATTTTAATTCTAGCTCCAAATTTCTCAATACATTTAGATATTACTTTAGATTCAAGTTTAGATAGCTTTGAGCAGAAAAATTCATTTTGAAAATAAAAGAGTATTTACCACGAAATTCTTTTATGAATGCGTGACCAGCTCTTTTTAAAAATTCTATGAACTTACTCTAGTTTATACTTTTATAGGCCTTACAAGCCTTTTAAACCTAATGCAGTTATTTCTACCTGTCATATACTTTGTCAAGTATTCTATGGTTACTTAATTGGCATTTCATAATGCTTGCACATATAATTTAGAGAACGAACTTTCCTAGAGTGGATACCATTTACATAATTGCCAATGAGAGAGGTCAAAAGTCAACCACAGTTCCTTCTGATTAAAATTTAATCAAGTAACTGTTTGAAGAATCACTGTGTGTCCAACAATGTTTCTATCTGCAGCAGGCCATTGCAAACTTCAGTGAGGCTCACCTCTGAGCCATCAACCTTGAATAGAATAACAATACCCATTTTGGAGACCTACAAATCCAACATGTTCTCCAATGCCACAAGTATCATTGTCTATAACAATGATATTTGTTATTTACACTCGAACTCTAACAATGTTCCAGAAATTGATTAGCATGGATTCCAAACAAAAGGTATTAAAGGCTTTAAACAACTCAACATCTGACCCGGAAGCTACTGATTTCTTAGCCTAAATCTAGGGACTATCTAGAAACCAGAGTCGTGGAAGTTTCTGTGTCCTTCCTTCTATAAAACTGCCAGAAACACTTGGTCAGATTCTTGATCTTAGATTCCCCTTTTACACATTTGATCGTCCTTCTTTTGTGACTATATTGCTTCTTAAAACAGTTTCCATAAAACTGAGGAAACATTGAGACTTTCTTCTCAGTTGTATCAGAGTCCTAAATTAAGCCTATTGTTCATTTCTGTTCTTCTCCAATTTTCCTCACCTGCATGTTTTCAAATCACCCCTTAAGGTGGATTACTTGTTCTCAACATTATGAAATATTTCCTTGTTTAGCTCTCAGAATTTAAACACAAATTCAAGGCTTAGTATTCAATCCATTCAATGGTCCGGTACATTTCTAGCTAAATTGGGGCAGGAAGACTAACGGACATGAAACAATGAGCAAATAACTGAAGACAATAAACGATGTGAATTCAAACAGAGGGAAGATTGATAAAACTGGAATAATCAGATCAATTATTATAGAAGAGAAAAGAATTGTTAAATATATCCCCAAATTATTTTCATATTTAAGTTAAGGCCCATTGCAGGTAGAAATTATTACATATATCTTACTATATTGAGCCCCAAGAAGCTGAAATTGATAAGTACTATGTCATTGAACCATTATGTTATGGGATTAAGCCTGACTGAGGGTGATGCAAGAGGTTTTTTGGGGGATATATGTTGTTAATATTTTATAATAAGATAATAAAGTAAAATGTTCATATTTAAAGCTCATAACTGCAACCCTTGTCCAGACAATTGGATTCAGAATGGAGAAAGTTGTTACTATGTCTCTGAAAAATGGGAATATTGGCACACCAGTCAAGAGAATTGTTTAAAGGAAGACTCCAGGCTGCTACAAATAGACAGCAAAGAAGAAATGGTAAATACTGTTTTGTGGTCTTATTCTGAATATACCATGTTAATTATTAAAAGAAATTCCTCATTCTCATAAAATTCCTTAATATTCTATAACAGAATATAATTGTAAAAATAAACGTTTAAAAGAGACAAAGTTAGAATCCATATGCTTTGTTTTCCTTTGAATGGAAAAACATAAAAACAGGATGGTTATCAGAAATTGAGAAGAATATGTGTGTTCCATGTCCTGGTTAACTAAAAGGTGGAGGGAATAAGAATACTGTTTTGTAGCATGATAATCCACATCAAGATATACATACATTATGGTTGCAGATACGTTTCAAATGTATTATTTTCAATGCTATAGGCAAATATAACAATCTATGATAATCTTGTAATTATCAAGGAAAAACAGAAGTATAAAAGCTGAAGTGATATTATGAAATAAATAGATCTTTAAAAGTAAGTATCTGCTAAATGAAATGTTTAAGTGGCATTAAACCTAGTTTACCAATGTCTTAACAAGTGAATAGGCCGGGCACAGTGGCTCACGTCTGCAATCCCAGCACTTTGGGAGGCTGAGGCGAGTGGATCACCTGAGCTCAGGAATTCAAGGACAGCCTGGCCAACATGGTGAAACCCGACTCTATTAAAAAATACAAATATTAGGTGGTTGTGGTGATAGGTGCCTGTAATCCCAGCTACTTGGGAGGCTGAGGCCGGAGAATCACTTGAACCCAGGAGGTGGAGGTTTGCAATGAGCCGAGATCACACCATTGAACTCCAGCTTGGGCAACAAACATGAAACTCCATCTCAAAAAAATAAAAAATAAAAAAAATAAAACAAGTGAACAGTAAGATGTTTTCTTGAACTCATTCCACCCATACATATATATGAAACAGAATGCAACATTATACATTTTGGGCCCGATGAAAAATGTATACCTGCCATATTCAGTAATTGGATGAAGTTCATTTCAACAAAAATCATGAGAAAATAATTCGTTAAGGATATGCAGTAAACCAAGAACACCTGAATAAACTATTACAATTTGTCAAGTTGCCTCTGGAATCTTCTGAACTATTTTCCACATCGAAGTATTCTGAGAAAGGTCTGTGATGTCAAGGTTATTTTGACTTTTGACAATGAAGGTACAGTATAACATTTACCTTTTTTTGGTATATTCTACCTGCCAGGCTCTGACTATGTTGAAACATTTTAAATCCCAGTTGTCTATTTTTTTCATCGTACTTAACACCACATTGATCATACAGCAATAGAAAAGAGTCTAAAAAATGCATCTACACTTTTTTATAATACTCCCTTCTCCCTTTTTCCAGGTTTCAAGTTCCCATAAATTTCTAGGTAAAATGTCACATTTCATATTTCACCGCAGTTTTGTTTGTTTGTTTTTCTCACTTCACGTTCAGGTCTTGTCTCTTACAGGATTTTATCACCGGCAGCTTGAGGAAGATCGAGAGAGGCCATGAATACTGGGTGGGGTTGTCTCAGAATGGACACAGCGCACGCTGGCTTTGGCAAGATGGCTCTTCTCTTTCTCCTGGCCTGTAAGTCTCTGAATGAAATGCTGCATGCAAAGTTAGAAACATGAGGGAATTCCAAAGTTTATTTTACCTTGTACCATGAATTTTCTCCAAGAGACAAGCAGCATGTTAATGTTACAAGCTGCTAATTGGTACTAAAGCTAACAAAATTAAGAGTAACTTCATGCCTTCGAAGTCTTTCTCCTTCCCCACCCTGCTGCTATCTTATAGAAAATTCACCTCACAATTTGAGTGTCTGATGAACAATATAATTATCAAGTGCATTTCTTTTGTATTGCTTAAAGTTTAGAGAGGGCTAAGGGGAAAGGATTAAAATGACTGTTAATTTCCACATTAAGCTTTTCAGATGGCAGCAGGGAGACGGAGAAGCAGAATCAGGTGACTTATTATTTTGAAAATTAAGAGTCAGCAAAGAGATTCTAATTTAGAGACGTCTTTGGGTATTTTTGTTATTTTTTTTTTCTTGACATGCTGTTTTTGTTCAAATCGTACTAACATTCTTTGTTGAGAGAAGCAGTTACTGAAGGACAAAACCACCACCGGAAGGTGCTATGTTAATACAAAACAAAACAGGCATCTCCACACCTCTCATTAGTTACCCTCAGGAACGTCTCTGAAACCCCCAAATCTAACCCCAGAAATGCTGGCTTGCCTTTCCAGGTTGCCAGTAGAGAGATCTCAATCAACTAACCAAGTCTGTGGATACGTCAAGAACCATTCCCTTCTTTCGTCTAACTGCAGCAGTTGGAAGCATTTTATCTGTGAGAAGTACGCATTAAGACCCTCTATCTGAAAGAAATCGTGTTCCAAGTGCTCTGCTGCACTAGAACTTGGAAAAGGCCATTGGAAACCACCATCCCCCCCAAAAAACCACAAAAAACTAACAGCAAGTAGAGCAGCAAACCAATATGTGGGCGATGAAATTAGCAACCTGGGACTCAATAATACACTTGGGAATATTCTTCCTTACTGTCCAGATTTCATTTGATGTTGTTCGAATTGCCAAGAATAAAACTTATTTAGAGCTAGAGGACAAAACCCTGACGAGTTAAGAACAAATGCAAGGAAATCATTTTTATTGCTGAAAGTCCAGAATGACTGTAAATTTCACACAAGGTACAGAGCTGTAAGTTGTTGGGGAGGTGATGCGGTTACAGCTGACTAATACTTTTAAAGGAAGTAAATCTGACCTTTTCAACGCACAGTCCGTGAGATCTTTCTTTGCATTTTATAGGGTTTCAGGCATTATGTTATCAAAATGTTAAGACAGAAGTACAGAGATACGAATTTCCAAAGTGGAAGAAAGTCAGGCTTCTATCTGCAGCCTGCACAACCACGTACTGTTTAAGGTTTGGTTTCTACTAGAAAGATGAACTACTAGCATTTGACATACGCAGAAGGAATAGTCAGGATGCCAGGTCAGTGTGTTCTCCAGGGAATGCTGTGAATTCCTTCTTTCCTTTCAGTGACCATCCCTGCCATTCACAAAGTAAAGGAGTCATGGTCTGGCCTCTCAGGGTTAACACTCCAGCACTTTCAACTACATCTCTCAGTGCCTCAATTGCCTCATTGTAAAATAACACCAGAACTTACTTCAAAATACTGTATGCGGATTAGACTGTAAATATATGTCAGTGCTGAGAAGAGCCTTGCACAGAGTTGAACGCTCTGCCAGCGCTTGCTTTTGCTCTCTGGATTACCTCGCCAATCATCTCTGGCAGCAACCTGTATTTGTGCATTCCAGACAAAAATCATCCCTTTTTTGCTCCCGTTGCAGCAATATTGAGAAGTTACAGTTCATGTGTAAAATGTCAGCAGCTCTTTGGAGAGAACATCTGCTTTAAAGTTGATTCTCTTCAAATAAATCAATAGACAGTCTCTGTCCTAAGTCTTTAGGCTCCCTGAACATGAACTATCTTATTCCCAAGAGAGGATTCATAGCTAAATACCCTGTGATCTACAGAAGGAACAGATTCCTTAACTGTTATTACATTACCTGTTACCATTTACCATCCCTACAAACACCTTACAGCATAGTACGTTCTCAATAAATATTTGCTTAATTCAATATGATTCTATTGAATTCTTCATTTCTCACAAGGAGGAGCTGACATTCATTAGGTTGTCATCTTTTCTTCCAAGCATACAGGCGTCATTTAAATATATAAAGTAAAAATAAAACCTAATTCTCAGAGTCACTGGAAATAATTTAAATAAAACGAACTATCCTCTTACCTAAAGGTCCTTTTACAATGGGTAAGGTTGCATAAGGGTGAGAGGAGTATGTTTTTGTTTATTTACCCTTGACCTAGAGCTTTCATTTGTGGGAGTATTAAGTAAAAGAGATTTTTCTCTAACTTTCTGCCTAACCTGAAAAAGGAAAATAGCAGAGAAAACACAGCATATATTGTCTCCTGTGTTTGGTTTCCACAGCCGACAGTTGGCAGCTGAATGTAATAGCCTGGAATAAAGGCGAAACAACAGCGGAATTTACCAGCAAAGATGGTTTGCCTTAAAGATTCTTCAAAGTATTGTCATGGAGCTATGTTTAGAGAAGGGATACGAGGCATTTGTAATCATTCTTAAGAAAGTACAATGAAGCGAAAGGCAAACATCCTTCAGCTGATGTCTTCCTGTAGTGGATGATGCAGTATTTACAAGTTAGAATTTATCTACAGTGCAGCTGACTTCAGCTCCTACAAATCTCCTCAGCAACGATGCTGCTTTCCACACAGATGCTATAGTTGGGGGATTCTTCTCTGCAGGTTTCTTTTGGTCCAGGATAGCAAGGCTTTTTAAATACAGTACTGAGTATATGAGTCTTACATCCTAGTCCTATCAACAATGAATTGGGCATTTTAGATCTCCGTCATTGAGTTCCAAGTTAGCCTTAAACAAAGAAAAAGAAACCTAAAAGTGAAACTGTCCTGCAAATGTGAAAAGTTTTTGTTTCATGGTTTGGTTAAAGTATATTAAATGTATAAAAAATATATAATAATAATAATATTGGTAGAATAATAGTAGATATTATTTGAGCCTAAAAATCTATTCATGCAATGAAGCTTGTGCAAAAGTCATGCACACTTTAAATTAGATGATCTTGCTGTTTGTAATCTTCAAAAACCGTAAGAATTTTTCTATAGAGGAATTGACTCCCAAATATTAAAGCTGGCCTTGAGACAACCTGGTAGACTTCTCTACCCTGTTCATAATGTGTTTGCAACCTCAAAATAAAAACTCCCCATTACCCTTCTCACACTTCCTGCTGTTAGAGGGCTCATGGCCTGCTTCCTGTTGATAAACCCTGAGAGCAGGTTCAATATCCTCTGGAAAGGAAAGGGCTTATTGTGTACCCTGGGGATCTCAGCTCTACCAGGAAAGGCTGGGCTCCTCATTTGACTGTTCCTGCAATTTCTTCAGAGTTACATAAACAAGAACCTACAAGAGAAAATAAATCTCATGCAGAAAACCAATTCATATACTGCCCATCTCTGATTCTCAACTGGAATTGTTTTTAGCAAATCAGATTTTAAAATTCATTTTATCATTATTTCCTATTCTTAATACCTATTTTTCAAAAGCGTGTAGTAAGAATGTTATGCTATACACTTTTTCTCTTGTTTTAAAATGTTTGTTCATATTGTGATCAATATTGTGAATTTTTCTATGAAGATGAAGGTATTGAGAGGAAAGAAGGAAAAGAATAAGCTCAAGGAAGGAGCTGAAGTATGTCAAATGTATGTTATTTTTTCCTCCTCACTATCTAAAGTGACTATCCCTTAGTCCCAGACTTGGAATGAGAATGCCATTCAACACTCACTCTGCAGGCGGCTGGACTCTTCAAATCAAGCACTTAAAAAGAGGCTTGCCATCCATCCCTGAGCTAGACTGCAGCTACATAGGATGCTAGGAGTCAAAACTTAAATGAGTGCATGTTTCTGTTTTACAGTTAATCCACATTTCTCCTATCAGCCATATTTTCTTTCTGTAGCCACAAGACTTACATACCAATTACTTAACTGCAGGCTTACTTCTCATTTCTTGTTATGTACCTATTATATAAACTACTTTCACTGAATGTCTGCACTCATCATAGAAAATATTTGCAAATAATGTCCTTAGCTCCCCAGTATACGTGCCCTTCTACAATTTGTTCATAAAAATCTCCAAAGAAGTCTGTTGTTATTAATAAATCAAGTTTAGCCTAACACTGCCTTCTTGCATATTTTAAGATCAGCCTCAAGGTTTCTCTGTACATCATGTGAACTCTAAAAAAGTTGAGGTATAAACAGACCCCAGCCTACACTTGTGCCAATCACTGTGTTTTGGCCAATCAAATGTAGCCAACTGTTTGAACTGTGTTCAAATAAGGCAAGTGCCGAGCTGAAACCAATCCGGTTTTTTCTGCACCTCACTTCTGTTTTCTATACTATATTTTCCTTTTTCTGTCCATAGCTCTTCTTCCACCACATGGCTGCTCTGGAGCCTTTGAGTCTACTGTGACTCTGACTCTACTGTGGCTGCCCGATTTGTAAATGGTTCATTGCTCAATTAAACTTTTAATTTAATTCACTTGAAGTTTTTTCTTTTTAACATTGTTCAGCCATGTGTGTGCCCCCCATATTTAAAAATAAATCACTAGAGTCCTTTTAGAAATACTTTCGTGAGCTCCCTGACATTTTATATTGCAATTTACATTATGAAATGGATTTCACCTCATTTCAGCTAACAGTAACATTATGAGGAAGTTATAACTGTTTCTACTTCATATGCAGCGAGACAGACTTCATGAAGTAAAGCGACTTGCCTAATAAGTACATCAGAATAAGAAGTCTAAAGTCTTCATTTTCTGACCACAAATACAGTTTTCTTTGCATGACACAATGTATCAACAGAACCTGCTCAACCCTAAAGAAAAGTTTAAGGAAATCAACAGAAAATTGAAAGGAAAGTTCTCAAGGAAGAATTTGCAATAGTCTTTGCTAAGTGACAATCTTACAAAAGGAAGTTTATGAAAATGAGCACCAGTGTGTTCTTTCTATCATATGATTGCTCCTGTCTGTCGTTTTACCATGAGATAGATGTTTATGAAAAACACAACTGAAGTACTTCAATTTCCACTGTTGAAAAACAAAGATTTATAATGTTATATTTTCTAGCATTAAACCCCCAAAATTGATTTATAAATAAACCAGTAAACTTGGTGGTTGCAATGATGTCTCTCACAATGATCCCTGCTCCATTTGTGCATGGAGTCATCTCAAGAAAGAAATGCCTCGCAAAGGAGTAGCTGCAAAGATGTTACCGCCTCTGTTCATGTCCCATGACCTGACTGGAAATCATGTGCACTAATGCAGCTCGGCTTACTCATCAACCATGTGTTAATGCCATAAGCTCTCCTCAAAAGATTTCATTTTAGGAAAGTGTTAAAACCATTCTCTCGAAGACAACATGTATTTCAAAGATGGCTTATTTCCCCAAATAATCACATAATCAGTACTCTTGTAGAGTCCCCAAAAACTCTCAGTAAGACGTCCAATCAAAATAATAATTGCTATCATATTTTGAAAAGCATTTTCATGCTGAATTTCCCCACAAATCATAAGTCCATTGTAAAATCACACACTTCACAGTATTTACATTTATTATTATTATTAAGTCTTCAGTACCTCAAAGGTATAAATATGGTCAATGGAAGAAAATAGGAACTGAAATCAAAGTATTACAGGTGCAGATGAAGAGACTGACTTTTTTCTAGTCTTTAATCTCTTTGAAGGGAACATTGGGGACAGTAATTCTGATACGGAAATGAGAGGGGGATATATTTCTTTCCTGGGAGAAATTCATATGGAAGAGAGACAACTATCAGGGTCTTAATGGACCCAGGGAGGAATGTTTATAAGACACTGACATTCTCATAACAATAGACACTACTGTTCAGAAGCAGGCCATAGAGAAAGCAAATGGGGTCTTTACTGAGAGATTAAGAAGGGACTGGTATGAACTGAAACAAACATGAAGAATTTCTTGTGTATTCGGTGGTACAATCTGGGGAGTGACTGCTTATTTCTCACGGACAACTTGACTGTCAGGAAAAAGGATGTTAATTCCGTGTATTTCCTCTGCTTCAAAAAGTTTCTCACTCCTCCAAGTATAAGGAAGACATGGAAACAAGGAGGTGATATTCGACGTTGAGAAGAAAGAAAGCTAAAAGTTGTCTCTAAACCAAGAAGGTAGATGACATTATGGGTTTCTGAGGTTGTTGGTGGCATGTAAGTAAGACTTCTTGTGACTGTTAAATATGTGCATGGACCCAAGCTCGGAAATGCTGGTGATCCTGAGCAGGAAACATGAGAACCCATCTTGTACTAGTCAGAGAAATATTCTTGCCTGATTATGTTCCATTTCCCCACGTCTCAAGTAGCCCTTGCATTGGCATTGCCTGGCTCACTCTGCTGTTTGTAGTTGCAGCTGGGGAGTCAGTCACCTTCACCTGATGTTTCAGGGAGGAAATGGAGGCTCTCTGGCTTCACCATTGCTGCCCTCCTCTCACACACACACCGCTTCAATTCTTGGCAGTCCTTTGAGAAGATCATCTTATTAAGGATGGCCACACAGTCTCTGCTTCTCGGGCTGGTGACATCTATCATAACATGGAACCTTAAAAAAAGAAGAAAAAGTAAATTTAATCACGGTTTATTTCTAAAATAAAATATTAAATACCCATTCTTCCTAGGGTGATAAAATTATAGTCTGGGTATCAGAATAAGTGTACTGAGAAAATGGGGTCATGTGCCTCTTTTTCTTCAGCCCCTTCAGTTTCCAGACTCATTCTTAGAAACAACAGTTCACCTAAAACAACACAAATCATCTCTAACTAAAGTGAAGCTATGTGTTCTACTCCAAAATTATAGGGGTTTTCTGCCACTTAAAAAGTTACCTACCTCCTCTGTAACTCAGTTTACTTAACTGTAAAATACAAGTGATTACATCCAATATGTCCTGTCTCCTGGGAGAATAAATGCTATCTTATATGTGGGGAAGAATAGTATCTGTTCCAACATGGATTTAAATGTGGTATATTTCTATAGAGAAATTACATGTTCTTATTTCAAAGGATACTGATATGGTTTGGATGCTTCCTCTTTACAAATTTCAGTTGAAATGTCATCCCCAGTGCTGGAGGTAGGGCCTGGTGGGAGGTGTTTGGGTCATGGGGTGGATTCCTCATGAATGGCTTGGTGCCCTCTTCTAGGTGATAAGTGAGTTCTCACTCAGTTCATGCAAGATCTGGTGGTTTAAAAGGGCCTGGACCCTCCCTCACCCCTCTCTTTTGTGTTTTCTCTTGCCATTGGACATGCCAGCTCTTGTTTTGCCTTCTGACATGAATGAGTAAAGCTCCCTGAAGCCTCCCCAGAAGCCAAGCAGATGCTTGTACAGCCTGCAGAATTGTGAGCCAATTAAGTCTCCTTTCTTTATAAACTACCCAGGCTCAGGCATTCCTTTATAGTGATGCAAAAATGGACTAACACAGTTACCATGTCAACTCCTACCTAAATGCTCATAGCATAAGTACTACTAGTGTTTCCCACCACTGCTTGTATTTTCTGCAAGTCTTTTCTCAGAGACTGCGTTTTTAAAGATGTGCTCCCTATTTCACTGAACAGAAAGCCAAGAAATCTTATCCTATCTCTGAGTATTGACAAGTTATGTGACTTTAGGCAACAATCATTACAGCCCGGACTTCTGGGCTTCAGTTTATTCATCTATAAAAGATCTCTCTCTCTCACGATCTCTCGTCTCTCCCTTCTTTCATCCATAATAAATACCAGACACACACTTCTGAAAGCAGCAAGAGAACTACCCCTGATATTTTACTAATGCTATGTGTCTTTCTCCCTCACAGGCTTATAGGCAGTTCAAGAGCAAGCACTATCTGGGTACGGTGGCTCATGCTTGTATTCCCACCACTTTGGGAGGCCAAGATGGGCAAATCACTTGAGTTCAGAAGTTCTAAACAAGATGGGGCAACACAGCATAAACCCACCTTTACAAAAAATACAAAAAATTAGCTAAATGTAGTGGTGCACACCTGTAGTCTGAGCTACTCGGGAGACTGAGGTGAGAAGAGAACTTGAGCCTGGGAGGCAGAGGTTTCAGTGAGCAGAGATTGTACCACTACACTCCAGCCTAGGCAACAGAGCAAGACACTATATCAAAGAAAAAAAAATGATGTAGCACTGTGGTGAAAACATCTTCAGTCATCCTCCTGCAAACAGTCTCCAGTACAAAGCAGAAGTTGGATTAATACTTGATGAGCCAAATTCTTGAACTCTAGCAAACTATCTTGTAAATGCCTTTCCCATAAAATATCCTGAGGGCTTACAGTTCAGAAGTGTACGGGGTTCCATCCATCCACAGCCAGACCTTGCCACCGCCAGGGCGGAAGAGCCCTATCCAGTAAAAGTAGAAAAACTCAGAGTAGCTCTGAGACATGGCAAACTCCTGTGAAAAGTACACAAGAAAACCTTTAGATTTGGTGGCACAATTACACACATGTACAGACGTGCATGGGGCAGCCAGCACTTTTCTCAAAGCACATACAAGTCCTGCTTCGCATAGATGCTCGAATGCTTAAGAGAAAAAGCATCTGTCCTGAGGCCAGTCAGAAGTTTATCCAGGTTTAATAACTTATTTTGTCTTAGTATATATGGAGAACATATCAATATTCTGAAAGCAGAAATCACATCAACTAAGATTTGTTCCTGACCCCTTGCTTTAAAGGCTCAGAATTAAACACTAATGTTGATATAAAATATGAGGGAAAGATTAACAAACAGATGTGGAATGATTCTGGGACATGGAAGAATATGGAGGGGAAAATGCAGGAATGAGGCAGTAACCTTCATAAATACCTGGGAAAGGAAGAAAAAAAGTAAATGAAAAATTTGCAAGGATGATTTATGTCTTAGACTAGGAAGGGGAGAAAGAAATTTTACATTTCGATTTATAAATATTTATGAGCACACATATGTATAGTCCTATACATGGTAATTCTTTTCCTAATATCCATATTTAACATATGTTTACATTTTAAAAGTTATTTTGAAATGCAGAGTGAGACTAGATACTTTTTCAAAGTGATTTTAAAATGTATCTTGTCTCACTCTGCATTCCTAATACATGTTTTTGGAGAGTTGGTGGGGGCAGGGTCTCACTCTGCTGCCCAGGCTGGAGTGCAGTGGCATGATCACGGCTCACTGTAGCCTCAACCTCCCCAGGCTCAGTGCACTCCTAATATTTTAACAGAAAAACGATCTAAACATGTATAATAATTATCCATTTTGATATCTTTAGTTTCCACCATACAATGAGTTTCTCAACAATACACTTTGTTTCATTGCTATGTCCATAAGCCTTCAGATAGTTAACAAAATATACAGATTTAATAAGAGATTATTGGAAATTTAAATGAAACTGTTACCAAGCAATAGTCATAATGTGAGCATGTGAAAATAACTGTACTTGAAAATATTGATTCCAATTAAATAGGAGGGGTTCCTTCAAATTATAAGTTTTGAAAGCAAATCATATGAAAATGATTTAAATATATAGACATAAATATGAAGTTCATGATAGAAAATAACTACATAGCTTTAACAAGGAAATTTCTCGCTTGTTACTTGAATATGCTAAAAGGAAAAAGGAAAAAAATAAAACAAGAAAATTCCCTACCACATGATATAATATAGTCCAATTATATACCTGAGTCTGCAGTATGTGCTGGGGGCAGAGGAAACAAAGAGAATAAGAAAAATTAGGAGGGTTTATGTCAGGGCACAGTCTTAGACAAAGAAATTACCTCACTTTATGCCTAAATTAAATCATCAAGAAAGGGTCATAAAATATTATTTTAGTAGGTGAGAGAAATTACAGAGTTTCTTTCATCACAGATTTCAGGAAGTAGGCAGAAATTAGAGGTAATTAGAACAATGTTAAGAATTTGTGGAGTGAGCTTGGCATTTAATTCAATTAAATAATCCCTTCTTGATGACCTATTCTTCATCAAGAAAATCTCTGCTAAATTCTAGAGAAACAGTGATAAATAAGCAATGGCTATACTGTTTGAGCCCTTCAATTCAAAGGCAGTAATAACTATGAGAGGAAAGGGAATCATCATATTTCGTTAGTGTACTTTAACTGCATGTATTAACTCAATAAACGTCAATTTGTAGTTTTATTGTCACACTTGCCTTGACCAGTCTATCCTAGGCTGTAAACTTCTGGAAGGCAAGATATATATTTGCAGATTATGGTAATAATTTAAATGTTTTCCACTTAAAAACTTTGCCACTTTTAGAATGGAAGAATAGACAGCACTATTTTCATTTCAATGTTTCTGACATTGCATCAACATTATTCCAGGCTGGGCGCAGTGGCTCATGCCTGCAATCCCAGCACTTTGGGAGGCCGAGGCGTGTGGATCACGAGGTCAAGAGATCGAGACCCTCCTGGTCAACAAGGTGAAACCCCGTCTCTACTAATAATACAAAAATTAGCTGGGCATGGTGGTGCGCGCCTATAGTCCCAGCTACTCGGGAGGCTGAGGCAGAAGAATTGCTTGAACCCAGAAGGCGGAGGTTGTGGTGAGCCAAGATGGTGCCATTGCACTCCAGCCTGGGTAACAAGAGTGAAACTCCAGCTCAAAAAAACAGCAAACAAAAAACAAAAGACATTATTCCTTTTCCACCCAAACCAAAAAAGAAAAGAATGCGTTCTATCTTTGCTCCCTGACTGAGCGGGAAGTTTAAAGAGATATTGCTCACGTTTCTAAGGGGTGGGTATTTGTGGAGAACACAACTCCTTTTATCTACTTCAGGGGACCATTCAAAGCAATAGGAATAAGACTCAGGCCCTGATTAAAACAAGTAGGAAAACCTGTCGACCGATATCCTTGATCCTTAGAATCTTCTTGCCCAGCTCTTTTATGGCCTCTTTTTAATAATCCTTCAAACATTGAAAAGCCTCAGAATCTTACCAGCTCTTCTTTTGTGTCTATCTTCAGCATGGTAGAGTTCTCACTACGGCAGAAATATTTACAGTCCTCCCAACTTTTGCTGTCTTTATAGAACTGGTAGCAATTGTCTCCATGCCACTTCCATTGCTCTGGACAAGGGCTGCACCTGTGTGCTTGGAAAAATTTTATTATTATTTTGTCATTTTCTGCATGAGTCTGTTGTGTTCCTTTCTTGAAGTTATATAGTATTTGATGTCCCAAGAAAGAACTAAGTTGTCTTCAACATTTAATGAATAGCCCAGGCAGTGATAACTATGAATATTTAAAGAACACCTACTAAATGCCAGGAATTATAAGTGGTGCTGAGATACTGTAGAATTAAAACACACATTAGCTGCTTATGTGGAATGTGGAATCTAGTAATAAATGATGGGAACTCTCTTGACACTGCCTATGAAATTTGGAACATGCTGCTGTAGTGGTTCGTGCCTGCAATCCCAGCACTTTGGGAGGCCAAGGCAGGTGGATCACCTGAGTTCTGGAGTTTGAGACCAGCCTGCCAACATGGAGAAACCCTGTCTTTATTAAAAATACAAAAAAAAAATTAGCTGGGAGCCTATAATCCCAGCTATTAGGGAGGCTGAGGCAGGAGAATCACTTGAACCCAGGAGACGGAGATTGCAGTGAGCCGAGATTGCGCCAATGCACTCCAGCCTAGGCAAAAACCAAGACTATGTCTCAAAAAAAAAAAAAATTTGGCACATGAAGAGAATATCCAATTTCACAAAGCTGTTCATATGTACAGAAACTTCATCTGCATTGTGTTTAGGAAATAAAGTTTCTGTAATGTTCTTCCTCAAAATGATCTTATACAATAGCAAAATAAGTTTTAGGAAATACAATTATACCAATATGATATGGAATCTTTTCTCACTCTAAACAAAGATAGATAAAATTTTAAAGAAAAAAATTACTGAGGCAAGCATGAAGTTAGAATTGCTAAATCTCCATGTCACAAATTAAGTGGGGCATCCAGGCCACAGAAGTATGGGTAGTGACAGCAAATATAGGATCCAGGCCCTGAGAGTCCTAGTTTCAACACCTACGTGGGTACATGACCTTAGGTCATTCAGAGTTAGGAGCCTGTAATCCAGTCTCTGGTGGGTTTGTAGTGGGGCGAGAACTTGAGTCATATCGGTAACAGTTTTTTTAACTTTAAAAGCAATCTAGTTAACATGTTAAAATCTCAGTGGCTAATACATAAGTAGGTATTATATTATTGTTTATATCTTCTTGTAAATTTCAAATATTTCATAAAATAATAACTTAGAAGGATATTTTTATCATTGTCAGGACAACCTTGCTGTGGTGCCCAGTAGCTTTTGCACTCTGTCAGACAGGTCTGCTCCCCTCAGAATTCTGCTAGGAGAAATATAACAAACCTGGATAGACTCAAGCACAAATAAAAGGATCCTCAGACTTCCTAAAACACAGAACAAGAATGGGAATGATGCTTACCTAAGAGGATCTCTGTAAAGAGGAAATAAGTAAAACAGTCCAGTTCGCACAGAGACTGACACATAATAAATGTCAGTTTCAACTGTGGTCCCTGTTATGAGAATTTGGATGGGTAATGCCTGCTTGGAGAGCTGTGCTGAAAAAGATTAAGAAGCAGCATCTGGACTCAGCAAGGAGAATCTTGGTTCATTGTCATGTCCGCTCTGATTCAGTAAGTAGAAACTGTGTAACTGCAATTTTGGTACAGTGCATAAATACCTTATCCCCCTCTCATGTGTAATGTTTTCTTAAATACCTTTGATTTTCAGGTATAAGTGATCCTCTATGTGCTCTATGTAAAAACAAGTCCCATACTCATATGGGAATTAGTATGAAGAGAAATTTTCAATGAATGTTTAAGAGGAAGCAAGGGACAATTAGATTGAAAAGTGAGAGACTCCAGGACCAAGAGCCTTATGTGAAATCGGTAGTGATATGATGTAACTAAAGAGACAGAGAAACCTTTATACATTCTTATCTTCAACTAACTAAATATTTGATATAATATTACTTAAACCATTGGAGGGTGAAACTGTAATACAGATCAGAAGAAATTCATTTATCTATGTATACATACAGTTACAGGTATAGACATAGATAGAGATAGATATAGTTATAGATATATAAATACAAAGAGATCTGCAGATATCCTCCACTCTAGCCTGGGTGACAGAGTGAGGCCCGGTTCCCCCACGTCTCTGTCTCCCAAATAATATGTATATTTTTAAAGAAGAAAATGTATGTTTTGGGTCAGAAAAAAATGTGTGGACTGAAAATGGACTGATCTCAAATGTTTTGTCCATGGTATATACACCTAGGAAAATTAAAATACAAACGAACTTCTAAACTGAACACGTACACTTTCTATGAACTTATTTTATCTATAAATTGCCAAATTTTGTATATGGTATAGTGCAATAAATATTTACAGGTATTTAGGATCAGTAAATAATAATGTTCATATTAGCAAGACCAATACCCTGAAGGGCATTCCATTTCATAAATACATGAAAATATGTCATCAAAAAAAAAAAAAAGGCTGATCATCTTTTTTTTCTTATAGTCTTTTCTCTCTCTGTTTCTCCTTTATTTTTCTGTGCTTCAGACAAAAGGAATGTAAGTCTGTTTACATGTCTGGCCCAGAACTTTCTGCTCATATATCTAACTCCCCAAATAGCATTCCTGGTTTCCAATTTCCCCCTTGTAGCCAAAGAATTCTTCTTCCTTTCACTTGATTACATCTCGATGCTTCTAGTTATTTTGTACCCAAATTCTGGAGATATTTTGGAATCTTTCATTTCTCATACATCCATTTATAGCCCATCACATAACTATTTTCACAAACAATATCCTAGTTAGAGGTATCATCATGTTTCTCCTAGATTTCAGTAGTAGCCATCTCTTATCTGATTTCTCTGTTGCTATTCTTTCCTCTTCCAGTCTAATTTTAACATAATTGCAGAGTAAGCCTGTAAAAACTTATGCCAGATAATGTATTTCTTCTGCTCAAGATCCCATAATTAATCCTTATCTTCTCAAAATAGTAGCCAAACCTCTTGCAAAGGCACCTAATGCTGTATATCATCTCTACCTAGTCTCCTGTTAGTCTTCCACTCCAAGCACATGGGCTCCTCATTCTTCCTTGAACATGCAGATACATTCACATTTTAAGGCTCTTGTGTTCCTGCTTTACCTATGAGGCTTATTATTCCTCTCTATATGTACATGGCTAACTCCCTCAATTTTTCAAGTCTTTCTACCATAAAATCATCTTAATTAAAGATTTATGACATCTCTACTTAAAGTAGCAACACAAACACACTACCCTTGAATTCCTTATCCCTCTTGCCTTGTTTACCTTCATTTCTCATAGGATTGATTAATCTCTCCTACATTTTATTTTGGTTGACCAGTCATTATTGTATACCTGGGACCTAGGGTTTCCCAGGCTGTGGGGCTTTTAGTACTAAAATAGGGAACATTTGGGGCAGACTTGGAAATGCTGGTTGATATAGTTTGAACATTTGCCCCCTCCAAATCTCACATTGAAATTTGATCCTGGTGTTGGAGATGGGGCCTAAGGGGGAGTGTCTCGGTCACGGGATCCCTTATGAACAGCTTGTTGAGTTCTCACTCCACTAGTCCTGGGAGAACTGATTGTTAAAAAGTGCCTGACACGTCCCTCCCCAGTCTCTTGCCTCCTGGACTCTTGCCATGTTACCTGCTGCACTTTCCCCCATGTATGGAAGCCACCTGAGGCTCTCAGAAGAAGCAGATGCCGGCACCATGCTTCTTGTATAGCCTGCAGAATCATTAGCCAAATAAAACTCTTTTCTGTATGAATTACCCAGGCTCAGGTACTCCCTTACAGCAACAGAAACAGACAAAGACGTTAGTTGTCTTTTTAAATGTTTTTCAATATACTTATTTCCACCACCCCGCTAGAGTAAGTGGCCCATGAGAGTAGAAATCCTATGTGTTTTGTTAGACATGCATTAGTAGGCATTCAATAAATACTCCAACCATACTGGCAGTAATACTAAGTAAATGGATAGATAAACACCACTTCAGTGGGTAGGTGGGTGGGTAGGTGGATGGATGGATGGATGGATCAATGGATGGATTACGGGTGAGAAGAGGGTAAGAAATAAAAAGTAGCAGATTAAAACTGAGAACTAACATCTAACCAAAAATATGTAAGAATTTTTTATGAGAAGCATTAATACGTTTGCATGCAGACTTTATATTTAAATTAAATATGATTTATTTGCATAGCTTCTCTTTTTATTTGTTTTTATATACCTAAATGAAAATTTGAAAGACCATTTGTGTTACGAAAATCTGGATTACCTTTAAAAAAATTTTTTTGTGTGTGGCAGAGCACAGTGGCTTATGCCTGTAATCTCAGCACTTTGGGAGGCCAACACAGGCAAGATCACTTGAGGCCAGGAGTTCAAGACCAGCCCGGGCAACATGGCAAAATCCCATCTCTACTAAAAAAATACAAAAATTAGCCAGGTGTGGTGGTGCACACCTGTAATCCCAGCTACCCAAGAGGCTGAGATATGATAATTGCTGGAACCCAGGAGATGGAGACTGCAATGGGCCGAGATCATGCCACTGCACTTCAGCCTAGGCAACAGAGTGAGATTTTGTCTCAAAAAAAAAAAAAAAAATTGAGATGATGTCTTACTATGTTGCCTGGGTTGGTCTCGAGCTCCTCAGTTCAAACAATCTTCCAGCCTCAGCCTCAGCCTGTCAAGTAGTGGATTATCTTTTTGAAGATATGACACCCAACAAAGAAAAGTATGCACACTGGATTGTTAGAAAAATTAGTAAAATAAGGGCCAGGTGTGGTGGTTCATGCCTATAATCCCAGCATTTTGGGAGGCCAAGCCAGGGGGATCATCTGACGTTGGGAGTTCAAGACCAGCTTGCTCAACACAGTGAAAACCCATCTCTACTAAAAATAAAAATAAAATTGCTGGGCATGGTTTTGTGTACCTGTAATCCCAGCTACTCAGGAGGCTGAGGCAGGAGAATTACTTGGATTTGGGAGGCAGAAGTTGCACTGAGCTGAGATCATGTCACTGCCTTTCAGCCTAGGCAACAGAGTGAGACTCCATTTCAAAAAAAAAAAAAGAAAGAAAGAAAAAGAAAAATTAGTAAATAAGGACATTATGAGGCTGGGCAAGGTGGCTCACACTGGTAATTCCAGCAATTTGGGAGGCTGAGATGTGCAGATCACCTGAGGTCGGGAGCTCAAGACCAGCCTGACCAACATGGAGAAAACCTGTCTCTACTAAAAATACAAAATTAGCCTGGTATAGTGGTGCACACCTATAATCCCAGCTACTTGGGAGGCTGAAGCAGGAGAATCAGTTTAATCCAGGAGGCAGAAGTTGTGGTGAGCCGAGATTGTGCCGTTAACACTCCAGCCTGGGCAACAAAAGCAAAACTCCATCTCAAAAATAAATAAATAAATAAATAAATAAATAAATAAATAAATAAATAAGGACATTATGACCATTGAAGTCATTAGTCAGGTAGGAAGGAATCACTTAGAGAAGTGAAAGTGTGCCTACTAATATTTTTTCCTGGGTAACCACACAATCAGGATGTCTGTTTCAGGTGGGAAGATGAGAAGACTCTGCCCTCCTTTAGAGTTCCTAAAAGATAAATAAAAAATGGGAACCTGAACATGAATGTCATTTCCCAAGTAAGCATGATAAAGAGAGCAGAAGAGAGCTGACTTGAATAAAGTAGATTATCACAAAACCTGAAAAGAACAGGAGAATAGGAATACACACACACACACACACACACACACACACACACACACACTGAAGTGATGCTCCTAGACTTCTCCAGGAGTATTTTTTATCCATAGTAGTTCACCTACTGCTGGCACTGTCGTCATCTGTAGTCCTTGTTAAAATACATATTTTAGTTATCCTGAATTAAAATAACTGGGATTTGATTCAGGTTATCTGCATTTTTGGACCACTCCCTGTATGATTTTAAGATTTGAGAACTATAGTTATGAGTTTGCTTACTTCTTGCTAGTAAAGAATTTGTAAGAACATTTGCTGAGGTATACTGAGACACAACCCTGTATTTTGTTTACTCGTAGTGTTATTTTGGTTATTCTTAGGTAACTGTTTTATTGTTTTAAATGTCTGCATTGGAAGAGTCCCTTGATGTATGGTATCACAGACACATATGAATCGCATGATCCCAACAACTGATCATGATCCTGAAGCCCAAACCCTTTATTCAGTTTGCCAGACCTCTAGTTAAATAATATTTAACTCTCACTTTCACTGGTGGGAAATCCATCTCTCTATTGCCAAATAGCATGGGGATACAGTGACCAGGACACACTCACCTCCAGCTTTGTTATAGAGCTCACGACAGAGTTTTTCAGCCACATGCTGCAGACTTTCTGTAAGCTTCGTGTTCTGGACTTGAAGAGATTGAAACTGTTGGGAGATATTTCCGAATCTTTCTTCCATATGGGAAATGGTGTCTTGATGCGTATTGGAGAGCTGGTAGTACTGAAAAACTAACCCAAATGACTGAGTCAGACTGGACAGCTTATTTCTATGTTTTATTTCCATTTTCTGCATATGGGGAAGACAAAACAGTGTATCTTTTAGTAGCATCTCAGGCTCTGAGATCTCATATTGCCTATATTCAAATTTGGACCCCAATACATATATGAGAAGTTGTATCACCTTGGGCAAATTAATTTCTTTAAGTCTGTCTAAAAATGTGAAGTCATGGGGAGAAAATGGCAGATAAGAGGGCTAAGGTGCAGCTCCCACTTGGACAACAGAACAGCATGAGGAGACTCACACTGTGAACTTCTCCTCTAGGAACCACCTCGGGAACATACCAGGAAAGCTTAAAGAATTCACAGATCCTTTGAAAGCTGCAACTTAATACTGAAATTTCTGCAAGACAGCCAAAAATGTGTGAGTTGGGGGCATACCTACCTCTGAACACACATGCATACTGGGGAACCTGAAAATCTGGGTTACAGGAGAAGGTTTTAATCTTAACTGAAGCAGAAATGGATTTAGGGAGCCATGAAAAATATAAAAGTAGAAGAAGCAGAAGGAAGAGTTCTGCAGGCACTCCCCTTTCCAGCTCAAGCCCCGGGAAGCCATCCCTGACTTTGTCTCACAGGGGTCTTTGGATAAGGCAACCAGTGGAATCAAAGAGGAATCACAGAGTGAAAGAAGCTAATGAATTCTGTAATAGTTTCGGCTAGGTACAAATTTCTTAAGCAGAATTCAGGGGGCAAAGAGAAACTGCTGCAGATATCAGCAGAGGAACTGTGATGGATGCTGTGGGAAGGTGAGGAGGGGTGTGGCTGGAAAGCCTGCTTGTTTTCTCAGTGGAGAGGCTTGTAGCCTGGGGCAAGCTCAGAGTGCCTGGCATGGGCTGCTGAGATAAACTCGGTGTTGTTGGTAGGACATGAGACGAGCAAGATTTGCCTCACAGCTACGTGGGAGCTGGGTAAGGCCTATCACTGCCGGCTTTCTCCCACTTCCCTGGCAACCTCTACCACACAGCAGAGGCAGCCGTATTACCCTGAGAATCAACCCCTATACCCCACAGCGTTCATGGCAAGCCCCGACCCAGGAGAGTGTGAGCTTAGACCTGCCTAACCCTGTCCCCATGTGATGTTTTTTCTCTCCCTATCCTGGTAGCCAAACACAAAAGACATAAACTCTTGGGAGCTGTATGGCCTTCCCATCACCTGAGAAACCTAAATACTTATCCTGGCCAACTTAGAGCAAGCTTATATCCCCTGTCTACTACTGAAGCTGGTGCTCTCTTTAAAGCACCATCTCCTGGCTGGAGGCCAACCAACTCAAGCCATTACAGTAACCCATGATAGAATAACCCTGCTCCAAGGAGGGAGAGACAACAGCTAATTCCACTGCAGTAACATCCTGGCTAACCAGAGGTCCTGAGTTGTCCATCTGACAACTTCACTGCTAGCATAACCAGCCTTCAAGAAAACCAGCACACTAAACGTATCTATAACCAAGGACTCTCACAGAGTCACTTCACCTCCTTGCCAGCTTCACCACAGCAGTGCTGGTGTCCACAGATAAGAGACTTGAAGACGGATCATATCACAAGACTCTGCAGACATTCTCCAGCACCAGCCTAGAGCCTGGTGGCACCACTGGGTGGCTACACCCAGAACAGAAATAACGATCACTCCTCTGGCTCTAAGGAAGCCTTAGACCTCGGGGAAGGGGGAGAGCACAGTATCAAGGGATCACCTCATGGGATGAAAGAATCTGAATGGCAGCCCATGTGTTCCAGATCTCTTCACTGAAATACCCAATATACCCAAATGAGAAGGAAGCAGAAAAGTAATTCTGGTAATACAAAACAGGGTTCTATAGCACCACCAAAAGATAACATTAGTTCCCCAGAATGGATCCAAACCAAGAAGAAATCTCTGAATTGCCAGATAAAGAATTCAGAAGGTTCATTATTTTATTTATTTATTTTTAATTTTTTTTTGTTGCATTTTAGGTTTTGGGGTACATGTGCAGAACATGCAAGATAGTTGCATAGGTACACACATGGCAGTGTTTTTTGCCGCCTTCCTCCCCTTCACCCACATTTGGCATTTCTCCCCAGGCTATCCCTCCCCAGCTCTGCCCCCCCCCACTGTCCCTCCCCTATTCCCTCCAATAGACCTTACTTGAGGAGATACCAGAGAAAGGTAAAAAACAACTTAAAGAAACTTTTTTATGGATCTTTCTTTTTCTCTTTTCTCCTTCCTTCCCAGACCAATTTTTGTTTTTTAATTCTGATAATGTAATGTATTATATTTATTGACTTGCGTGTATTAAATCAGCCCTGCATCCCTGGGATGAAACCCATTTTATCATGGGGTATTATCTTTTTGATATAATGTTGGATTCAGTTAGCTAGTCTTTTGTTCACAATTTTTACATCAATGTTCATTTCTTATCTCAAACAGAATGTTTAATTCTAGTTGGCTACTCATTGGTGTATTTTAATTCTTCCATTATTCAACGTTTAAATAGCTGCCGTTCAAAAAAAAGATACACTGAGTTTTCCAAAGGCTACAGAATTAAAGCTTAAAAAACAAATCTATGACAAGCGTTTCTCATCCTAGACAAACCTTGGAACCAGGATCCTCCCCCAGGTCAGAGCGCAGACTTACACAAAAGCCCCAGGGCTGCCAGCCCTATCAGCAGCACCAAGCACAAAGTCAGCAGGATCAGGGCCACTGGTCGCCATGCTGAAGAGGGAGCCCTGTGCCCTGCAGGGAACAGAAGAGAAAGCAGGGTTTGGCTTTTTCTTCCTCTTGCGTCTAAGTCAATAGCATGTAAGGGAGAGGAGTTGATTCTGCACAGGAACAAATTGTGCTGGACAACAATAACCAGGGCCACAGAATAACTTGCTGTCTGTCCTCAGAAACATCATCGTAAGGCTCAATGAGAGCCTCACTTACCACGGCTAGATTCTCACAAGCCCCACCCATTTGCATCCACCCCTCAAGTCTTATTTGCACTGAATTACACAATGCATTATCATTATCTTTACATGGTTGTGTGTACAACCTTTTGCTTGTCAAAATTCTAATTATGAAAGAGGCTGAGAATCTCTGAACCTTACCAAGGGACAACTTTTTACATAATCAGGGGAAAGATGAAATTAATTTGTTGTTACTTTTGAAAAACATCTCCCTCCTCCCAAGTTCTATATATGCTTTTTCTAAAATGCAAATTGCATGTTAGTAATGGGAAGTAATAATTTTACTGTTTCTCTGTGGAACTGCTTCACTGAAAGTCCCTCTTTTGTAAGGATATTGTTTGTTCACTCATTCGATTTATATTTTTTCAAAAATAGATTATAAAGATACATGATCATCAGTTTCTGAAAGATGAATCCAAACTGTTTTTGCAGCAGTTAAATAATTTTTGAAACTGTGACAAACATGTTTTCCTTACCCTTCATTCCCAAAAGTTTGACTAGTAATTGCAGAGGTTTTACTGTAAGTCATGAGTAGACCCCTCACCTAGTGAGATCACCTGTCTGGGTCTGAATGACCAACATATCTAACAGGGAAGATTCTCAGTCAGGTGCATCTAGCGTTGTGATAGAAATGAAACAAAGGGAGAGTGAAACCCTCAAACAAACTCTGATCTCTCTGTAACCCATTAGTTCACTTCATTGAGGATTCAAGTCACTCTCTGAAACAGAAAGAGATCAGAGGGTTTTTTTGAAAGGAAAATTCTTTTTCTTCTAGCAAGGTCCTCTACGTAGTACATTCTAGGCACAGAGATTTTCCAGGATGGAGTGCAGTGGCGCAATCTCAGCTCAAGGCAACCTTTACCGCCCAGGCTCAAGCAATCCTCCCAAGCAATACTCAGTAATACTCAGCCTCCTGAGTAGCTGGAACTACAGGCATGTCCCACCACGCCTGGCTAATTTTTTTTCTATACTTTCTTTAGAGACGGGGCTTCACCATGTTGCCCAGGCTGTTCTCTAACTCCTGAGCTCAAGCGATCTGCCTGCCTCACCTCCCAAAGCGCTGGGATTATAGGCATGCGCCGCTGCACCCAACCAATTCTAGGTAAAGAGATTTATTTGAACATTGTTTCCCAATGGGGAATGATAAGTAGTAAAGAATAAACAAATAGACAATATGATTACTATCCTCTGGAACTTACAGTCTAGTAGGGAAATTAAGTTAAAGTCTCAGAGCAGACATACTGATATATTTTTAAATGGGAATCTTATTCTTTCTTTGCAATCATCCCCTTCATAAATAGCCTGCATTACATTTAGAATAAAATCCAAATCCCTTTTCACAGATTGCTTTTTAAAATTAAGAAAAAGGCAATTTTATTATGGTACTTTCCCACTTAAAAACTTTAAAAGCTTTATTGCACTTAAAATTAAATCCTACAGAAGTCTCATTGAGACCTTCCTTAGCTCTTTCATCCCTTTCTGAACTATTTTCCTCTCACTCACATGTACAGTAGTACCTAATGGCCTTCCATTCAGTCCTTGATCTGATCACGCTTGACCCTAAGTAAATTTTATTTATCAGCCCTCCTTCTGCCTCTGCATTAACATCAGTTTCAATGGCACATCCGTGGAAGAGGTCCGTGAGCCCACCGACAGCGCATATCACTCACTCTGTGCTAGGTAACATTTTCATGACGGTTCTTTCTTTTTCTCTGTCTCCTTTCTCTCCATTTAACATTCCATTAAATCCATGATCTTGTCTATTTGCCCAGCAGTGTATTTCCACCACTGAAAGCAGTGCCTGGCACATAAAGGCTGAGTAAATCTTTGACAGTTTAAATAGTCAAAACATGAAATTATTAAAAATTAACATGACTTAAACTATCTAAGTTTTATAAGTGGGTTCTCCCATGTTAAGTTTTACAGGTGTCCTTTAAACCTAAATCTGTTGACTTTTCAGCAACATTTATGTCAGCAGAAAACAGACTCAGCTAAATACATCTCCCAGCCATGTTGCTTTCTATACACTGACTTTCGTGAGATTCTATATCATGAGCAAATCTGAGGGAAATTCGCCTCCTCCCCTTGGTTTCCTTCAGTTAACTAAGCTATGTGATTTAGTCTTAGTTTTTCTGGAGAAGGACGGTTTTCTCACAGTATTGACTGTGAAAATATTTCAGATCAGCAGAACATTAAAAAAAAAGATTAGAGACAGAATATAGTTTGAGTTAATCATCCTCTCCAAAACCCTGTATTTGTAAACTTCCATATGGTCCAAGAAAGTTAACCATTTGGATGTTTCGAAAATCCATAGTTAAAAGTGCATGTGTGAGCCCACCGCCATGGTGATGTTATTTTTCCACATACCTCTTATTACCATTACGTATATTGTATATCTTTCTTATTTCATTTGGCTTCTATCTGTCTTACTCTAGAAAAAATTTAGCTCCTTCTTGGAAAATATTATCTATCTAGCCACTGTTGTAACCAAGTTCCTAGAGCAGTAGTTGAAATAAACTCAACTAAAATTAAATGAATGAATGAATGAATAGGTCCATTGTATACAAATATCTGTGTTATACGCCTACCTACACCTACTCAAACATAGTTACATTAATACGTATCTCATAATAATTTTTAAAATCCTGTTACTTCTTATAATTAATATTTGTCTGACTGAAATTAGAAATAAGAAGTAAAGATGTCCGGGGGCAGTGGCTCCCAGCACTTTGGGAGGCCAAGGCGGGCAAATCACCTGATGTCAGGAGTTTGAGACCAGCCTGGCAACATGGTGAAACCTCGTCTCTACTAAAAATAAAAACAAAAAATTAGGTAGGCATGCCTGTAATTCCAGCTACTCCAGAGGCTGAGGCAGGAGAATTGCTTGAACCCAGGAGATGGAGGTTGCAGTGAGCCGACACAGAGCCACTGCACTCCAGCCTGGGTGACAGAATGAGACTCTGTCAGAAAAAAAAAAAAAAAAAAACAGGCTAGGTGTGGTGGTTCAAGCCTGTAATCCCAGCACTTTGGGAGGCCAAGATGGGTGGATCATGAGGTATGGTGATCAAGACCATCCTGGCCAACATGGTGAAACCGCATCTCTACTAAAATACAAAAAATTAGCTGGGCATGGTGGTGCATGCCTGTAATCCCAGTTACTTGGGAGGCTGAGGCAGGAGAATCGCTTGAACCAGGGAGTCGGAGGTTGCAGTGAGCTAAGATCTGCCACTGCACTCCAGCCTGGGTGACAGGGCAAGACTCTGCCTCAAAAAAAAAAAAAAAAAAAAGTTTCAAGAAGTAAAGGAGAACTCTGACACACGACCAAATTATTTTTCTTTATAAATCTGTTTTCTGCCAGGCACAATGGCTTAGGCCTGTAATCCGATCACTTTGGGATCCTCCCAACTAAAGCACGAGGATTGCTTCAAGCCGGGAGTTCGAGACCAGCCTGAGCAACACGGTGAGATCCCATCTGTACAAAAAATTTTAAAAATTCATCAGCCATGGTGGCACACACCTGTAGTCACAGCTACTCAGAAGGCTGAGGTGGGAGGACTGTTTGAGCCAGGGAGGTCAAGGCTGCAGTGAGTCATGATCGTGCCACTGTACTCCATCCTGGGTGGCAGAGCAAGATCCTCTCTCAAAATTAGTAAATAAATGAAATGAAATAAATAAAAAAATAAAATAAAGCTGCTTTTTCTTGCATAATATCGAGGACATGGGAGGTGTTGTTTTTCTGCCCAAAGGAACAAAAACAGTGAACTTAAATTCCTACTGTGAAGTGAGGGCCTGAACTTTAGAAATCAGAACATCTTTCAATAATGATTATATTCATGAAAAGAAAAAAAATACATGACCCTTCCCTCTAGGGCAGAAAAAAAAAAAGAAGTAGTATGTCTTCTGCTTTAAAATCTCTTCTAAGAAATCCTCTTTTTCTGATCAAATTTCACATTTTGAAATTCTTCTTCTCTTCCCATCTCTCTCACTCTCTCACTTGCTTTCTCTCTCTCTCTTTTTTAATATTCTCCATCTAATCATTCTACATAAAGACACAGAGAAACACAATCCTGGGGAGTTCATCTCTCAGGAAACCAAGCTCCCATGATAGAAAGTCTATGAAGTTGAAAGTTTCACTTTTTCTTTTTCTTTGATGCTGTTTTCCCCTCTAGATGTTTTTCTTCTAACTGTGAGTCTGATGTTTCTGAGTTTTATTCCAAGTGCCCCTAATCATACCGAAGTCTCTCTCCAGGGATCACCCTCACCCTAACATAAGGCAGATTTTCACAAAAATAAGATGCCTGGGAGGTCGCTTGGGTTTGGCTTGGCTTTATTGTGGTTTTATTTTCTGGAAGAGAACCCCTTTGCCGTTTCCTGAGCCATGTTTAGAAAGAGGTGTGGACAGGCCAAGGAATGATATAAACATCCCTAGGAATAATAAGATACATATAGGGGAAAAAACTTTCCTGTATCCTCTTACTATAACTTACTATAATAGGCCTCAGTGTCAGGGTCAGATTTTGAATACCAATTCCTGTGTGATTATGTGAAACTTTGTGGGTGGAGAGCTGTCAAACAGTTACTCTCCATCAGGCATCAGCGAGGGAAAACTTTGTTTTCCACCCAAGAAACTAAGCCGCCGTTACCACACGCAGTCTATTAGTATACCTATGAAATGCAAAAGGTCTTAAAAGCTGAAGACACAGAGAGTTCAAACAATGTGCATGGTACAAACCAGTTGCAGAGCCAGGATGAAGTCATTATGCTTAATGCTATACTTCACACACT